CTACCAATCCATGAGCAAGGTAGGTTTTTCCATCTGTTTACATCTTCTACAATTTCTTTTTTTAGTGTTTCGTAGTTCTCCCTGTATAAGTCTTAATATTGATTTTATTCATAACATGTTGAAATGATAGTGTTGCACATAAAATATTTTATTAAAAATAACATTGTTTCTTTTTATTTTTTTAAAAGTGACTAAGAGTTAAAATTCCATATGTGATTTGTGTTATATAGTGCTGCTTGAGGTAATTTAAAATTGGCTAAATTAAAGAATCTTAAGACATAGCTTTTCTTAAGTTTCCTACCAATTGCACGATCCTGGTCACGTCACATAACTGCTGATAGTTCCTCTGTGACATCTGTCATTTTTTTTTAATTAGATAATGACTGACAAAATAAATGTGTCTAATCTTTTACTATAAGAAGTTCTATATAATTTCTGTAATTCCGAAGGGGTTGTAATTAGTAAGAGGGGGATAAGTTCCTTTCAGTCCAATAAACAATATTTGATTTTATTCTTATTTTCCCAGCCCTGAATTTCTTTGTGCCTGGTGTGTGTAATTGTGCTGTGACAATTTCACAACAAAAAAACTTCTGAAGGAATTTTGCACTGTATACTGTGCTGGTGGAGAGTTAGTTCATAAGACACTGAGATTGCCCTGGTACAAATTCAGCACACTCAAAAGTAATGGGTTTCAGAATGTTTTTTCGTTTTGTTTTGTTTTGTTTTGTTTGCTAAGGAAGCTAATTGGCAGCTCTAATTCTCAAACCTGTAGTTTTGTGTTGTTCAAGTATACTCACTTAAGGGGTTGGTTATGTTTTCCTAAACGTGTTTCTCATGGACTTCTGCTTGATTCTACCATACACAGAAGACCCGAACCTTAGAAATTCTCACCACTATATCTAAGCAGCCTTTGGTTTAGACTCAAAAATATAGCCCCAAATCTGTCAGATTTCTCTACCCTCTACTGCCTAATTCAAGCCTATCATCTCTTTTCTAAACTATTACAGGCATCTTCAGTGGACTTCCTGTTCCATTCTTACCTACCACAGGCCATCTTCCAGGCAGAAGCCAGAGGTGTTTTTGTTTTAATGTAAATAATATTATGTCACTTCTTTGCTTAAAACCCTCCATTGACTTCCTTAGTACTTGAAATGAAAATCCAACTTTCTCATGGCCTAAGTGGCCTGGCCCTTGCATAACACCCTGCCTTCATTGCCTATCCTCTCCCTCACCACCCTTGGGCCATGTGGATCTCATTTCTGTTCCCTGTGTGTGCCAAGCTTGCTCCTGGAGATCCCAACAACTACCATCCCCTCCCTCAACTCCTGACACTGTGATCACTCTCACATCACCCTGTTTTACTATTTTTGCACCATTTACTACTCTCCGAATTTATTTTGCTTACTTATTAGTCTGTCTTTCTCAAAAATGTGGGCAACATCTCTGTTTTTTGGTTTATTGCTGTTCCTAGCATCTGGAGGGTGCTGGCACATAGTAGGTACATAAATATTTGTTGGAAATGTGAATAAACAAATGAATAAAAGGAAATAATCATTGTAAATGTTTACTATTTTGTTTCCTTTTGATCACTGGTGATAATTTTGATACCTGATTATAACAAAATCAAATGAACCTCTTAAAAGAACCCACTTAAAGAAACATTATTAAAGCATATAAAGCCCAAGAACTGAAATGTTTAATCCTTGATTAATAGAGACTTATCCTGTAATCATGAGATAAGTATTGGGCACCTGCAATAACTGACAGTAATTAACATGTTATGATCTAAATTATCCTCATGTTGTATTTTCAGTCTGAAAATGCCACGTTTATTCCAAAACTAGTATCTTTATTAGTACTATCAGCATTTCCACATAGTGTTTTAGAACCAGGTATACACCTCTATCAGGGAGATCTTACATGCCTAGCAAAGTATATTAATCATATATAAAAATAGAAGAAATTAGGCTCTGTCAGTGAGCAGTAGCAGCAAGGTTGATAATCTTCAGATTCCTCATGAGAGACTGAGGACTTCAGACTGCTTTGGAATTTAATTCATTGGTATCTTCTGTCTAGAGTTCTGTTAAATGGATTTTTAAATAAGTGATTACTCTTGCTGTTTTATGAAACAGTGGCAGATTTGTGCGATGAGTGGGCAGATCTGTATTAATAAGAATGTGAGTATGTTTACATGGAAGCAAACAATAGGTGATTAAGAATGGTCTAACTTACTCCAAACAGTTTGCATTTCTGAGTGTAACATGTAAAAGATTGAAATTGTTTGATTTCCAGATTGAAGACTATGACGTGGTAGCTAGCATGATAGGAGCCAAGTGTAAAAAACTCCGGACGCTAGATCTGTGGAGATGTAAGAATATTACTGAGAATGGAATAGCAGAACTGGCTTCTTGTTGTCCACTTCTGGAGGAACTTGACCTTGGCTGGTGCCCCACTCTGCAGAGTAGCACCGGGTGCTTCGCCAGACTGGCACGCCAGCTCCCCAACTTGCAAAAACTCTTTCTTACAGCTAACAGGTCTGTGTGTGACACAGACATTGAAGAACTGGCATCTAATTGTACCAGATTGCAGCAACTGGACATATTAGGTAAGGACACAATACATAAATTGACATAAAAGCTAATTTCAGACTCTTCGTAAGGCAAAAAAATTCTTGGATAAAATAGATATTTTGTCCTAAGGCTGCTTGGTTTGATAGGAAGTACAAGATAGATCAACTAATGTGGGGAATAATTACATATGTACTTAACTAACATAGTGAGGATAATAACATAATTTTGTAGTTGAACCTATCAAAAGCTTTAAATAACCATTAATTTTTAGTCTAGTTAGAAGAGTGAGAATTTCCATGAGCTGTTTCTCCATTTTTATTAAGGACAGAAAATAAGAAATGAATCTATTTGCTGTTTGTGTGATGAATTCAAGTTAGATATTTTCCAAAAAGCCTCTTTAAAATTTAAGTTCTTGATTAAGGAATATTGTGAAATTTTCATCCCTGATAATTCTAGTTTTTAGGAATAGTCTTTTCCCCGGCAGATCATTGAAAATCCTTTCCAACTCTGGGATTTCTTCTGTCCTTACCATAAAATGTGATTTTGTTACTTCTTACTTTAGCCAGGGGTGCTAGCAGTGCCACGGTCATCGTTGCCCACACAATTGGTACTTTGTGAACTCACATCACACTTGGACATTTCACATCAAATGCGTTGTGAAAATCATTGGGAACTGGGGTGACAGAAATAGGAAAGTCTGGAGGAGCTGATTTAAAGGGGTAGGAGGTAGGAAAGAAGAGGTAAAGCATTTACAGGATTCAGGTCCTAGATGCCAAACTGGTGGGGAAATTCAGTTTTTATTTTCTTAACAAGACCATTTCAATATGCAGTCTTTTTTTAAAAAACAAATGCTTTTAATTTTTAAAAGAGCAAATGTTATACTTAAGGTGTTTTGTTTGGTTTTGTTTTTTTAAACAGGAACAAGAATGGTAAGTCCGGCATCCTTGAGAAAACTCCTGGAATCTTGTAAAGATCTTTCCTTACTTGATGTGTCCTTCTGTTCACAGATTGATAACAGAGCTGTGCTAGAACTAAATGCAAGCTTTCCAAAAGTGTTTATAAAAAAAAGCTTTACTCAGTGACTTGATATAGATTCTGTAGTAAGTTAATATGCTTTTGTAGGGTTTTATTTTGGGGTTGGTTTTGTTTTTTGTTTAGTTTTTCTAATGGTAAGAATTAAGACATTTGTAGATTTAAAAATATGAAATTATCCATTAAATCAAGTAAAAATGTACACAAATGTTTTCACAAAATATTGCAAGCACTTTTCTTCAAGAATATGTGAGTGGATGAAATTATTTTTACCTTATGTTAATCAGTGATATGCTTTAATCAATAATTATATTATTAATAAAAGAATAACATGGAAACATGTTAACTTATTTTTAAAGGAATACTTTGAGCAATACAGTATCATGATGTTTATGCAAAAAATAAAGTTAATTTTTCACACCTCCATGTAAGGATGCCTTATTAAGCCTATGACCTGGAAAGTATTTTGTTTGGTATGAACAAAATTGGCAGAGCTAGTTCAAGAAGAGACTTGTTTTTCCATCTGTTAAGTTTATTTTTTCAAGCCGATACATAAACTGTTCAACTGGAAAATTTGTAGTTTTTCTAGCCAGGTGGTGTCATGTGCCTGCAGTCCCAGTTACTACGAAGGCTGAGGCAGGAGGATCGCTTGAGACCAGGGGTTGGATGCTGTTGTCGTGTGCAGTGACTGTGCCTGTGAACAGCCACTGCACGCTAGCCTAGGCAACATAGAGACCTCATCTCTTAAAAAAAAAAAAGGAATTGTAGTTTTTCCACTTTTCTTCTAATATATTTATCTGTTTCACCACTGGATAATACCAATATAAAAATATGGACATAATCAAGAACAAGAGGTAAACTACTAAATGAAATAGCTTTCCAACTGTTAAGCAGATGCCTTTTTAAAAATTTGCCAGAGGGAGAAGTTTAAGACTTCTGAATTATGTGTGGATTTTATTTATATTTTGTCTTGTGCTCTAGCACCTTAAATATTAGAAATCAACTACAACCTGGGGGTAGTGAGGAGGGCAAAAGATAATAAACATTGTTTTGTTAAATAATGAATTGACTTGGTTCTGCTACTAAGGAAGTAGACAAAATATTTTGTGTCATGAAAAGGCAGGGCTGTTTTGAATAGAAAACTAATATTAACTGTGTAGTGTAACAAATTTCATTTTTCAATTCAAGGCAAAATTTATATTCCAATATCCAGATGCCCTAGAGTGATCTTGTAGATCTGTGCTGTCCATCACAGTAACCACTAGCCATATGTGGCTATTTTATTTAATTTTAATTAAATTTAAGAAAAAAATTACTTTTTCAGTTGGACTAGCCACATTTCAAGTGTTCAGTCGTCACATGAGGCTGTTGGTAATCATGTTGACAACATAGATGTCGAACATTTCCATCATTGCAGAAAGTTTTATTGGATAGCACTACTCTAATATTGCTTATGTTGTAAGATTTATTTATTTAAGAAAAAACACATTTTGTTTAAAAATTATCACAGTTAATATATATTTCTGGACAATTTTTGAGGGTATCCTCAATAGTATATATATGAAAGCACTTTTTCCCCCAAAGTTCTTAAGCTAGTAAATTTATACATAAGGCAAGTAGTAGGCATATTTATTGAATGAATCAGAATACAGTATATTGTTAAGTCATTATGTCAAATTTTTAAAGTGTAAATGTTATAAATTATAACTAGTGGTGCTGTGTTTATTCTTTTATAGAATGTAAATAATGTAATATTATGATATGTAAAATGTTAAAGGATTAATACAATCTCTTCTACATTAAAAAAAAATGTGTATGAGAATTGCTGTCCTGGTCATATGCATAGTATGCCCTACCCAGTTTTCTATTTGATGGAAGAAGTAAGGGGTGATTGGGAAAGGATTTTGTTGTCTTCTGTTGTTATCTTCATGCACTAGGATTTTCTTTTCACCCACAAATGTACATAAACATTTTAAGTGTTTTATTCAGTGGACCTGTGGCAGGGGGAGATGCATCATTGGACTACAAACTGTATGAATTCATACTTTTATCTTAAGCTAACAGCTAACATTAGGATGTTGTTTACTTTATGCTGTATGGTGTATACTTTACTATTTCACAACAACTCTGTAAAATACATGCCATTACTTACCCCCATTTACTGATAAGGAAATTGAGGCAACCAAAGATTGAAGAATTTACTCATGATTATATAGCTGTTAGTTGCAGAGCTATCATACAAACCCAGGCCATCTAGCTTTAGAAGCAGTGCGTTCAACCTATGCTTTTAAGTGTCCAGAGTGGCTTCTGGTTCTAGAGCAGAAGTCAGGAAACTTTTTCTTTAAAGAGCTGGATGTTTTAAGCTTCATGAGCTAAGAGGCAAAACTGAGATTATTATGCAGGTACTTAAATAACTAGAGAAAAAACAAATTTGTACAAAAATTTTATTGACAAGATTCAAAATGATAACAGAACTTTTTTGTAATATGGTTTTACTAATGAGAAAAATTAAATACTTTGGGGGCGGACATTTCACTTAATTGGGGTTCAAAGTTAGTGTTTCCTATCATCAAAGTTGATTATAACTATTCATCTGTTAATGCTGATCTGTAATAGGATTTTACATATTTCAACTTTGAAAATGCCTTTTCTTACAGATAGGTACTGCCAAACATATTAATCCATAAGATTATGATTTTCAGTCATCATGTTCATCACTTGGAAGGCATTGATAAAATTCTGTTAGTTTATTTCTTTTCTTGATATTTTCTTTTTAGCATATTCTTTGCAGATTAATCACTTCAGATTGAACGTTAGGTGAAAGTCCCTCAATTTCACAGTTAAATGAATTTTGAAAATGTAAATTTCCTTTGCACTTGTATCAAAATCCAAATACTGCTGGAACTGTAGCATGAGTTACAAATTTGTGTGAGAATGGAGATCCTGCTTCTTTGTCTTACTTTTTGATAACATAGGAAGTATATAAAGCAGTTTATTATTACTTGTGATTCAAACAATGTTAATTGTCATCAAATGACTTAAGTATATTTCACATATAAACACTTCTCTTGCCTTGTAATTTTTCGTTGAATTCATTACAAAACATTATCAAGTCTGCAACAAAAGCTAAATTCCAAAGCCATTCACTTTCCATAATAGTGGTCGAGGGCATTTCTTCTTATTCAGAAAAATTCCAATATCAGCCCTGAACTCAAAAACTCACAATAGAGCTAACACTGCTGTGCCAATGAACTGCTATGTGATAAGGAAAATCAGAATATTCATCTTCTATATCAGACAAGATAATGGAACTGTTGATGGTTAAATCTGTGAGAGCAAATGAAGTTCCCCATTGATACAACTAGTTCAGTGACACAAGATCGAGTCAAATATATTCCACAAAATACCTGCTGATGGATAATATAGTAAATAACCACAGTTTTTAAACTTACTCTTATCTTTTCATAAGCTTTGTAAATTTAACCAACTAAGTCTTTTTTTGGCTCTGCACATTTTTACCACCACCAGTTGTAACACATCTTAGCAGATTCTACTTCAGTTTATATGAAATTCATGTTTTCTTCTTAGAAAATATTCTCGCCTACAATTTTTCCACACAGACAATTCAGAGACACTAACCCCGGTCACTTCAACCTTGGCATTGGCTCATCAAATAAATAGATAATAACTAGGCAATATCAGTAACAATCTATTGACTCATCAAAAGCCAAGGGAAACCACTCAGTCATTTACCATGTTTTTTAATTGACTATTGATGTTGTTCCCAGTGTTCTCAATTCTTTGAGCAACTGACTGTTCTTGCCAAAAGGCTGATTTAATAGTCTTAAGCAAGTTTACTCTGGACACTTCATCAACTACAATTTCTTTAATTTGCCATTGGTAAAAGATTTTCCTTGCTTGGCTAACAATTGAGTCACTTACTTTGCAGCCTTATTTTTATTTTTTTGTTTTTGTAAATTCTTCAGTGATATCTTGTATTAAATTTTTTAATTTTTCTGACCACTGTATGTCTATGAATTGAGAATATTGGGATGAGTGTTTGGTCCAACATATGTAACATTCTTCTAGAACAGCTATTGTGTCATTGCATACTAAATACCATACTTTGACATCTAATTTGATATTTTTAAAAAATCCATATTCTACTGTGCCTTAGAAATGTCACTTGAAGTTTGCCTTTCTCTTTTTTTTTTCTTTTGATATTATGGGTATGCACTAGTAATAAAAAATTAAAATACTATGGTATGGGAACATGTGGCACTCAAAATGCTGGTAGTCATGACTGCATCACTGCAATTTGTGTCATGCCAAGTGGGAGTGCAAATGATGAGGGCAATACATAAGTCTCTTGCAACCACTCACCTCTGTCATTATAATGTGAAAGCAATCATAGACAATACCCAAATAAATATGGCTGTGTCCAACAAAATTTTATTTATGAACACTGAAAGTTGAATTTCACACAATTTTCATGTGTCACAAAATAATATTTTTCCCCTATTAGGAAATGTAAAAACCACTCTTAAGGAGCAGGCTGGAAAAGAAAAAAAAAAAGGAGCAGGCTGGGTTTGGCTTGTGTAACGAATTTGTGACCTCTGTGCAACAGTCCTCAACTGTTTGGACACCAGGGACCGTTTTCCTGCAAGACAGTTTTTCCATGGATTGGGGATGGGGGTGTGGTGTCATAGGGAGGCTGTGGTGCAGAGCTCAGGTGGTGATGCGTAGGCCATCTCCTAACAGGGCAGGGACCGGTAATGGGCCTCAGCCAAGGGGTTGGGGACTGCAACTCTAGAGTATTCTCAAATCAATCAATCCAGGCTTGCCCATTCCTAATTTTATAAACCACATTCAAACCTGTTCTCAGGTGTTATCTTTTTTATTTTACCATTTAGATTTTAAGATGAAGAACAGTATTTTATTGTGTTGGAGAAAACAAAAGTGTCTACCATAACAAGAAAGAATTTATGTAGACTCTTCATTAAAATTTGAAGCCAATGACTTATTGTTAGCTTTCACAACTAACTTAAATTTTTGTATAATTATTTATCTTTTAGCATTTTGCTAAGGTGAATTACCTTCCCAGAGGCTAGTAATAAAGCTATGTCCTTGACCCTGTTTGGGAGTGTAATTAAATGATCTTCTCAATGTAAATTGCTCTGAAATAAGATCTTAAAAATACACAATATAGACAATATTCAGGTGCTTGGCTTTGAGCCTATATGTAACAAAGAAAAACTGATTTATTTGTGGAATTACTTTTATTTTTTGGTGTTTCCCAGGAATTAACTAATCACTAAAAACTCATATTTGCAAGTGTAGTAATGCTAAGGAAAGTCAGTAAAAATTACATTTGGCTACCATGTATACTAATAATGAATGTT